AAAAAGAGAGAGAGAAAAGAAATGAGATGATTCTGAATGCATGCATGCAGTGTATGACTTTACCATGGGCAGCATGCCTGACTTGACTCCCCAGAGCAGCTTTCTGCACTGGGGACTTCCTTAATGGAAACTGGTCATATAATTATATTTATTATCAATTTGACCTAATTGTGAGATTTCCCTTCCCGTTCTTGTAGAACTCCATCTTCTTTAAAGATACTTATGTAACCTTATAATAATGGTACTTCAAATAATGGCTTCCGTTTATATTCATAGACATTTCTGAGGGATTTAAGATAAGAGATTTGCTAATATTTAAGTAAAGCTGAGGAATTTGACTCAGCAAGCATATATTAAACTTTATTATGTGTTAAGCACTGTACCAGATGCCCTGAGTGAGGCCCCTACCTCAGAACTTGCATGGTGATGGAGAGATAGGATCTGTACTCAACTGTGCTACAGGACTGTGTGTATCTAGTGTTATCAAAATAGAAGCACAGAGGAAGTACTGCTGAATTTCATCTAGGAACTTCAAGGAAGGCTTCATGGAGGAAGCTTCTTTTTTGCTGGACTTTGACATGTGGGTGGGCAGAGGTTAAATATATATGTGTGGTAGAGATGGGCATTCGTGACCACAGAAGGAAAATTTGCTCAGTGCTTGTTATCTGCCCATCACTCTGTTGGAATTGGGAATGTAGAGATGCCTGGGGTACTTAGGTTGGCTGGACTATGGGGGAAGGGAGAGAAAGGAAAAAGTGGCAGGAAGTTATGAAGGAGAGTAAACCTGGCTGCCAGGCTAGGGTCAGTTGGCAGTGGCCTCCGTGCTATGGAGCTTGGGTTTAATTCAGGGGCAGTGGAGCCCCTGAAAGGTTTTTGAACAGCACCATGATCAAACTGTCTGTATTGAGGAGCTTGCCGTCTCTTACAGTTATAGTGTCTTATTTTTTTTCATTCAATCCTCATAGTGGCTCCATGAGACAGAACTTCTTATCCCATTTTGCAGATGAGAAAGCCAAGGCTTAGCAAAGTTAAGTATCTTGTTCACGGCGACATTTACACTAATAACTCAAGGAGCTGCAGGTCGAGCCCCAGTCTCCAAACTTGACTCCAAAGCCTGAAGCTGCAATGAGAAAGATAGGCTAGAGAAAGAGTAAGAAGCAAAAAAGCTCATTGGGAGCCTGTGGCAATTGTCCGGGTGAGGAGTAAGGACAGGGGAAGGATGGATGAAAGTGGGAAAATGGGTGAAGCTGGGGCAGCATCGATAGCCCCAGAGTGACTGGGAGAGGTGGAGCAAGAGGGAGAGGAAGGAGTGCTGTGTAGGGTGGAGGAGGTGATGGAGGGCAGTGGACGGGATGGTAGCCTCACACTCCCTAGTGACTCTTGTCATTGTGGTAAGGATGTGGCTGATCAGATCATCCTGAGTCAGAAGAGTTTGGGAAGTGGATGAGTGACTCAGGTGAAAGTGTGATGAGCCTCTGAGTTCTGATTCCGGACCTTCCCTGAGTTACCGTCCGTCACCTTTGACCACCCCAGCCGCCGTTTCTCCATTATTACTCTGAGGCAGTGGAATGGCTTGTTGGTCAGGGTATTCCGGGGAAATTCCCGGCTATTTAGATCAGCTCATCAGTACCAACCCAGCTATTGTGAAATAGGCCTCTTTTGACTGCCCGAAGTGACACCTCCATTCTGAGTAGAATGGTAAAAGTCCACCACATGCTTCCTCTCTCCCACCACTCAGCCCCTGCCTGGAGAAGCCACATCCCAGATTGGATTTCCTGCCTCTGTGTCCTTAATGAGCACTTTAGTAAGTGGTGTCGCCATTCTTCTGAACCACAAGCCCATTTAAACCAAAGGCATTAGGAAAATCAAGTATGAGCTCTCAGCTTAGGTACACCATCATGATTACATTCTCCCAAAGAACTTTGTCTTTAAAGAGCTCAATCATCTTCCCAAATCCATTCACAACCTGCAGGCAAGCAGGCGTCACGAGAGCCTCATGACAAGCAGCAGCCTTTGTTTCCTTTTAAAAGAAGACAGGTCCTGCTTTGCTGACCCCTGGGAGGACCACCACAGTATGGCAAGGGGTGAGAAGCAGTGTGAGAGAGAGAAGGTGCTGAAGCGGGCTGTGGCCAGAATCCAAGTCTGAAGATGACATGGTCCCCAGTGCCCCCTAGTGGTGGGAAGTTGTCTGGTGCTCTTTGTTCTGGGGAAAAGGAAGATGGCCTGTTTTAAGCATCTTGTGGCCCAATTTCCTTCTCATCAGGGAAGATTTACTCCTGAGCTAAAGAGATATCCTGGCATCTGCTCTAGGGTCTGTGATTCCCTGAGGGCAGCACTATTTGGGAGGATTCACACTTGTGCTCCCTGTGTCTGGAAAAAAGGCTCAGAAACCAAGGGGTAAAGAGAATGGGGGCTAGAAGTGATCCTTGCTTTCAGAGGTGCTCTAGACTTGCCCTGTCCTAAATAGTAGCCACCAGCCACATGTGGCTATAGAGCATTCTGGAATGTAGCTAGTCTGAATTGAGATGAGTCATAAATGCAAAATACATGTTGGATTTCAAAGTCTTAATATGAAAAAAAATTTTATTTGTTTTATTAATTTATTTTACTTTTTAAATTTTTTTGAGACAGAGTCTCGCTCTGTCACCCAGGCTGGAGTGCAGTGGCATGATCTCAGTTGACTGCAAGCTCCACCTCCCAGGTTCATGCCATTATCCTGCCTCAGCCTCCTGAGTAACTGGGACTACAGGCGCCCGCCACCACACCCGGCTAATTTTTTGTATTTTTAGTATAGACGGGGGTCTCACCGTGTTAGCCAGGATGGTCTCGATCTCCTGACCTCGTGATCGACCTGCCTCAACCTCCCAAAGTGCTGGGATTACAGGTGTGAGCCACCGTGCCCAGCCGAAAAAAATATTTTTACACGGATTACTTGTTGAAATGATAATATTTTGCTTAAATAAATATATTAAAATTAATTTCACTTGTTTCTTTTTCCTGTGCACTGTGGCTGCTAGAAAATTTAACATTACATTTCTACTGGATAGCATTGCTCTTCACGGATGGGCTTTGTGCCCAGAACAGGGGCCCACATGACTAAGACAGGTTTCAGGCCTGCCTTGGGCCCACTTCCAGAGCTGTGGCTAACCTTTTGGAGGGGTAGAATGGGCTTGGCCCTCCCCTTCCAAAAAGCCCTTTGAAATCCTACCATTCAGAAGTCATCACTTTGTATAATCACAACTTTTCAAAATGTAAGTACCCCAGGATTAAAAACCTAACATCAACCAGGCGTGGTGGCTCACACCTGGAATCCCAGTACTTTGGGAGCCAAGGTGGGAGGATTGCTTGAGGCCAGGAGTTTGAGACCAGCCTGGGCAATGCAGCAAGACCCTCACTCTACAAAAATTTTAAAAATGAACCAGGCATGGTGGCACACACCTGTAGTCCCAGCTATTCTGGAGGCTGAGGGGGGAAGATGGCTTGAGCCTGGGAGTTTGAGGTTATAGTGAGCTATGATCACACCACTGTATTCCAACCTGGGTGATAGAGTGAGACCCTGTTTCTAAAACAAAATGAAACAGAAAGCCAAACACCTAGTCTAAATATTCTGGGATCCCAGGGTGCCTACAAGATAGAGGAGGGGGCCCCAGAGAGAGCTGTGGGAGGTAGAAAAATAGGAGTTGGAGGATACTGAGCCCCCTGGCTGCCTTGCTCTTCCATTTTGTGCTCAGCTCCCTGGCTTTGAAGCCACCTATCTCTTAACAGGTTGACCTGTACCCTACCTGTTTCTTTGTCCTTGGGAAATGGGCCATTTGGTGCCTGCTGGGAGTTTTATTTATTTATTTATTTTTGAGCCAGATTCTTGCTCTGTCACCCAGACTGGAGTGCAGTGATGCCATCTCAGCTCACTGCAACCTCTGTCTTCCAGGTTCAAGTGATTCTTGTGCCGCAGCCTCCCAAGTAGTTAAGATTACAGACACGTACCACCACGCCCAGCTCATTTTTGTATTTTTAGTGGAGATGGGGTTTTTTGCCTTTTTGCAGGCTGGTCTCAAGCTTCTGGCCTCAAGTGATCCACCCACCTCAGCCTCCCAAAGTGTTGTGATTATAGTCGTGAGCCACCTCACCTGGCCTGGAGTTTTAGAAGAGTCATATCAGAAATTTTATTTTCGGCTGGGCGCGGTGGCTCACGCCTGTAATCCTAGCACTTTGAGAGGCTGAGGCGGGCGGATCATGAGGTCGCGAGATCGAGACCATCCTGGCCAACATAGTGAAACCCCGTCTCTACTAAGAATACAAAAAATTAGCTGAGCGTGGTGGCACGTGCCTCTAGTCCCTGCTACTCGGGAGGCTGAGGCAGGGGAATCACTTGAACCTGAGAGGCGGAGGTTGCAGTGAGCCAAGATCATGCCTTTGCACTCCAGCCTGGCAACAGAGTGAGACTCTGTCTCAAAAAAAAAAAAAAAAAAAAAAAATTTATTTCTTCCATTCCTCTGTCATACCCATTCTGAGTCATTTACCTGACCTGTGAAAGCTAAATTTCTTTTGAAATACAGAGGGGCACCTCCTATACTTTGTGTAAAATGGCCCTGGATGGCTGAACATAGCATTACAATGTGCAGTATATGGAGCAGAATTTGTTCTGCAGCCTGGTATGCTTTAGACAGTTTTTAAGGAAAGAACAAACTGAGCTGTATGTGTTATCTGTGGACAGTGTACTGTGTGGGCCCCCAAGGGACAGCAGCAATTCTTTAGGGGTCTCAGTATATGAGTCTTGGGCAGGCCCTTACAGACTTTGGCTTTGTGTTTAGTAATGTAAATTCTTCCCCAGTGTTTGTGAGATGGCTTCTGTGTGCTTAGCGTTGAATGAGGATTCAGTGGAGACTATCCAAGTTGGGATTTAGGGATCAGAATGCATTTGCCTCTCATGTAGCATTGCATTCTTAGACTTGCAATGCCTGTGATGTTTTTGTTTTGTTTTGTTTTGTTTTCTCTTCTAGGCACTTATCAACTGGAAAGAGGCTAAACTGACTTGGAGTTTTTTCAAACAGTCTTTCTTGAAACAGATTTTGACGGAAGGTAAGTTGACGGTCACTCTGAATGGTCGGGAGACCATAGTAGAAGGGGATTTCATAGGACTGCCAATTATCTGGGTCCAGATCACCTGTTTAGAGCCTCTGGGGCTGAAGAACTTCAGAAATGGGAGGAGGGGGCTTAATACAGAGAACGAAACCAACGTCTATTTAGTTTTGTGCTTTACTTAGGTGGTCTAATTTAAATCTCTCCACAGCCTTGTAAGAAAGATATTATTCCCCTTCATTATGGATGAGGAAACTGAGAGTCAGTGAGGTTGCAGAACTTCTTTAGGGTTTTGTAGTAACAGGGAACAGCTTAATTGGGATCCAGGTCTAACTCCAAAACCCCATGTTATATGATTTTTATGAGTTTATTATAAAAGTATTATATCAGCTACATAAAACTATTTTTATCTTTTTTTTTTTTTTTTTTTTTGAGATAGAGACTTGCTCCATCGCCCAGGCTCTGGAGTGCAGTGGCTCCATCTCAGCTCACTGCACGCTCCGCCTCCTGAGTTCATGCGGTTCTCCTGCCTCAGCCTCCTGAGTAGCTGGGACTACAGGCGCCACCACCACACCTGGCTAATTTTTTTGTATTTTTAGTAGAGATGGGGTTTCACCATGTTAGCCAGGATGGTCTCGATCTCCTGACCTCGTGATCCGCCCACCTCGGCCTCCCAAAGTGCTGGGATTACGGGTGTGAGCTACTGCACTTGACTGGGATTTATTTTCTTAGACAATAAAATGCGCTTGTATGAGAGTTTGGTCAGACTTTGGTCTTTTCAGTTGACCTATGACAGAGCTCAATGTGGAGGGCCAGCAAGGGGCTGGAAGCACATTTGGTTTTTGTATGTATATGTGTTGGTTTCTTTGTACCCAGCTTTAATTAGAAAAATGAGATTTTAAGGCAACTATTAAGTTGCTGAAGGTGGTAGTTTCTCTCTTCATATATATTTCATATCCATATACCTATTACTGAATGTATTTTTTAATCTTTTCAAAAATTATCTTTTAATTATAAAATATAGTCCCATTAGAAAAAAATAAGAACATAGAAAAAATAATACTAGCATTCTAATACAACTGTTATTATCTTGGTATTTTATTTTCCCCCCATCTGTATTTTTTGTTCATTATGTTTCCAAAGAAAAGCAGCTCCCCCTATGCCTCACTTTCCCCATCTGTGAACAAGGGGATAGAACCAGGCAGTGTCTGAGGGCTCTCTGATCTTTGAGAGTGCACACATGCTTCTAGCCTAACCTTATAACTTTGCTATTACAAAAATGAAACTGTTCCGAGGCCTTCTTGGGGAAGGGAGGGTCAGAAGCCTCGGAAGAGCTGAGTGAAGGGCCTGAGCACTTAGCTCCTGGGGAGCAGGGAGTGTGCCGTTCACCACTGCCACTGCCTCCCTGTAGCCTGGCACAGGAGGGCTGTGCAGCATGTATTTGTGAATGGAGTAAGAAAAGGCAACAAGGTAACTATTGTGAAATGGTGTGTGATGATAGTTCATGTTGTTGTAAGAACAGGAAAATCGGTGGAGGGAGTTTTGGAAAGGACAGTTGCTCATATGCACTTTTTTCCTTCCAAGGTTTTAAGAGCAGTTTTAATGAGTTTGAGGAATGGATCCAGTCCAAGTGATGGCCCTAAATTGGTTTTCTGGATTGCAGACAACACATGTCTCTAGACATGTCTTTGCAGCAGCTGGTTTAAGTTTACTGCAAACAAAAGCCTCCAGAACTCAACCTGAATGCAGTGCCAGGAGCCTGCTCCATGGGTGGATCCCCCTAGCCTGACTCCCTGACTGGCACAGTGCCATTAGGAACCTCTCAGGGCCTCCATCTCTGTGGCTGTGAAATAAGGAAGTTGCCTGACTGAGATCCTCAGATTCTTTTTTTTTTTTTTTTTTTTTTTTTTTTTTTTTTTTTGAGGCTAGTCAAGTGAAGCAGTGGGAGTAGTGCAGCAGCGCACGGTCTCTGCTCACTGCAAGCTGCACCTCCCGGGTTCACGCCATTCTCCTGCCTCAGCCTCCCGAGTAGCTGGAACTACAGGCGCCCGCCACTATGGCCAGCTAATTTTTTGTGTTATTTTTAGTAGAGATGGGGTTTCACTGTGTTAGCCAGGATGGTCTCGATCTCCTGACCTCGTGATCCACCTGCCTCGGCCTCCCAAAGTGCTGGGATTATAGACGTGAGCCACTGCCCCCGGCCTGTTATATTTTTAAAACTATAGCTCTAAAAAAGTTGAAATCCCCGGTTTTTTTTGGTTGTTGTTTTTTGTTTTTTTGTAGATAGGGTCTCACTCTGTCACCCAGGCTGGAATGCAGTGGTGCAAACACAGCTCGCTGCAGTCTTGACCTCTCAGGCTCAAGTGATCCTCCCACCTCAGCCTCCCAAGTAGCTGGGACTACAGGCAAGGCACCTACCAATACGCCTAGCTAATATTTTAAATTTTGTAGGGACAGGGTCTTGTGATGTTGCCCAGACTGGTCTTGAACTTCTGGACTCAAGCGATCCTCCTGCCTCGGCCTCCCAAAGTGCTGGACTTACAGGCATGAGCCACTGAGCTGGGCCTGAAATCACTTTTTGTAGTAGCAAAAATGTATGTGCTGTTACTTCTGCCCCCACATTTCCTGAACAGTATGCCAGGTGCTGAGAATACTGAGATGAATGAGTAACAGGCCATGGCCTCAAGCATTTCATTCTCTCACCAAAGACATAGACGTTTGTGTGGTTAACTGTTACTGGGCTGTGAGGGGTGTAGTACTTGGAAACTCATTTCCTAGAGCTTTGCTAGGAAACCAGGGTCATAGAGATGACTGAGAGGGGCTCTTGCCCTCAGGGAGTTTATAGAATGTAGGAAGGAGAGCCTATTCTGCCAAAAGACAGGGAGGGCCCTGCAGAAAAGACACTCTAGGTGATGAGAATGACAAGAGCCAAGGCAGGCCCAGCCTGACTCAAAGCAGCTGGAGGGCTAAAACCTGGGAGGTAGGGTGCAGCAGAAGATGACAGGGTGATGAGGGTGAGGTTGACGAAGGGAAGCCAAAATGATAGCTTGGGGTCAGTGTATAAAAGCCTGCAAATACAGAATTAAGGAGCCTGGACTTTTTGCAAACATTAAAGAGCCATTTTGGCCAGGCGCGGTGGCTCACACCTGTAATCCCAGCACTGTGGGAGGCAGAGGAGGGCAGATCACCTGAGGTCAGGAGTTCGAGACCAGCCTGGCTAGTACAGTGAAACCCCATCTCTACTAAAAATACAAAAATTACCTGGGCGTGGTCGTGGGTACCTGTAATCTCAGCTACCCAGGAGGCACAGGCTGCAGTGAGCCCAGATAGCGCCATTGCACTCCAGCCTGGGCAACAAGAGTGAAACTCTGTCTCAAAAGAAAAAAAAAGAGAGAGCCATTTAAAGATATGAAAGCAGGCCGGGTGCATTGGCTCACGCCTGTAATCCCAGCACTTTGGGAGGCTGAGGTGGGAGGTCAGGAGTGCAAAACCAGTCTGGCTAGCGTGGCAAAACCCCGTTCCCACTAAAAACTGAAAAAATTAGCCGGGCGTGGTGGCGGGCGCCTGTAATCCCAGCTACTCAAGAGGCTGAGGCAGAAGAATCGCTTGAACCCAGGAAGCAGAAGTTGCAGTGAATGAGATCATGCCACTGCACTCCAGTCTGGGTGACAGAGCAAGACTCCGTCTAAAAAAAAAAAAAAAAAAAAGATATGAAAGCAGAGACTGATTTAAGAGCTGTGTTTGAGGCTGGGCGCAGTGGCTCACACCTGTAATATCAGCACTTTGGGAGGCCAAGGCGGGTGAATCACTTGAGGTCAGGAGTTTGAAACTAGCCTGGCCAACATGGTGAAACCCGTCTACTAAAAATACAAAAAAAAAAAAAGAAAAAAAATTGCTGGGTGTGGTGGTGGGCATCTGTAATCCCAGCTACTCGGGAGGCTGAGGCAAGATAATCTCTTATGTCCGGGAGGTAGAGCTTTCAGTGAGCTGAGATGGCACCACTGCACTCCAGCCTGGGCAGCAGAGCAAGACTCAGTCTCAAAAAAAATAAAAGCAACAACGACAAAACAAAACTGTATTTGCACAAACTGGAACTGTTAGCAGTGAGGGTAGATCCAAGCAGCACAGAGACACAGGCCTATGAGGACCCGCAGTGATCCCTACCACAAACATAGTGGCAGGGGCTTGGAGAGAGAGGCAGGGTGGGAGAAAGCCTTGAGAGAAGATCCTCACTGCTTCCAGCCTCTTGATGCTTTCCTTTTTGAGCAAGTTACTAGGAGGTGAGAATTTGCCCTTCAGGGCGCGGGCACTGTTTAGTGCTCTTTTCCCATAGTGGTCAACACTTTTTCCTCATAGATGAGAAGCTTCACGAAAGCCAGGGGGATGGGAGCCCTGGCTGGTGTCTTCACCTTGAAGGCATTTGACTGTCTTACATTTGAATCATGACCTCAGGCCTGATTTTTGTAGTAGCAAAAATGTATGTGCTGTTGCTTCTGCCCCCTCAGGCCTGAGTTCCTGATTCAAATCTAAGACAGTCTAATGCCTTGCCAGCCCCAGGGAGCTGTCTCCACCCCTGAGGAACCCTTGGATAAGCTTGTGCATATAATCATGGATGCTTCACAGATAATTTACGCGCAGATTATCTGACCTCCCCTTAAAACTTGGGACCATTGCCTGTGCGTGGTAGCTCACGCCTGTAATCCCAGCACTTTGGGAGGTGGAGACGGTGGATCATGAGGTCAGGAGATCGAGACCACCCCGTCTCTACTAAAAATACAAAAATATTAGCCGGGCGTGGTGGCGGGCACCTGTAGTCCCAGCTACTCGGGAGGTTGAGGCAGGAGAATGGCGTGAACCTGGGAGATGGAGCTTGCAGTGAGCCGAGATTGCGCCACTGCACTCCGCCTGGGCAACAGAGCAAGACTCCGTCTCAAAAAAAAAAAACTTGGGACCATCATTTTCATTATCAACATTTAATAATCTCCACATACTTTTTTAAAAACTTATTTTTAGACTTTTTTATTATTTTTTTTTATTTTTAATTTTACTGGCTTGGAGATTCGCTGTCAATGAAGTCCTCGGCACTTTCCAAATTGTTACTTTGAGATTATTTGAAATCAACATTAGGACAAGGATATGTCTTTAACTGATTATCTAATATTTCTCCTTTATTTGTCAGCTGGAAAAGTTGATAGCTAGTAAGAAAAAGGAAACAATAAAGTAATGTGCATTTGACATTGCTAATTATTTTGCTTTTTTGTTTATAGGCGAGCGATACGTGATGACATTTTTGAACGTATTGAATTTTGGTGATCAGGGTAAGATGAAATTCTGTAGTGTTTTAATTAAAGGTTAATACTATTAATAGATACTTCCTAACATTTTTCTCCGATATATTTAATGAAAGATGAACCTGAAGATTAAAAAAAATCCTGAAGATTGTAAATTGTAGGTCTTCGTACTGACTGTGCCCTCCAATGTGACTTTGGTGGCAGGTGTTCTGGTGAGACCCTGGCCCTCTAGTTCGCCTCCTAAGAGCTCTGGTGTTCATTTTGGGGGGTGGGAGGTGCCAAGAGAGGAGAAAAGGGAGCTCACCATCACAGCCACAAGAATCTGCCCCATATTTGTGTAGCTACATAGTCTTTTAGTATTTTCATTTTTATCTTTTAATGTAATACCAAAGTAATGGAAATCAAATAGAAAAACATCAACTTTGCATTAATGACCTGTATAAGAAAGTACTGTTGATGGAAGCATTCTGTATCTTGACTGTATCAATGTTGGTATCCTGGTTGTAATATTGTACTACAGTTTTACAAAATGTTACCACTGGGTAAAGGGTATATGGGATCCCTCTATTACTTCCTTTTTTTTTTTTTTTTTTTTTTTTTTTTTTTTGAGACCGGGTCTCACTCTCTTGCCCTCTTGCCCAGGCTGGAGTGCAGTGGTACCATCACAGCTCACTGCAGCCTCAACTTCCTGGGCTTGGGCTTGGGTGATTCCCCCCACCTCAGCCTCCCAAATAACTGGGACTACAAATGCACACCACCATGCCTGGCTAATTTTTTCCGGTTTTGTAGAGACAGGGTTTCTTCATGTTTCCCAGGCTCATCTCAAACTCCTGGGCTCAAGCAGTCCACCCACTCTGGCCTCCCAAAGTGCTGGGAATACAGTCATGAGCCACCATGTCCGGCCACTGTAACTCTGTGTGAATCTATAATTATCTGAAGATAAACAAACTTTAATGAAATATTCAATAACAATTTTAATAGTGCTGTGAAAATTAAAGTAGAAAAACCAACATGATTGTTGTTTCTTCTTTTTTGTTTTGTAGGTGTGTATGATATAGTGAATAATCTTGGCTCCCTTGTGGCCAGATTAATTTTCCAGCCCATAGAGGAAAGTTTTTATATATTTTTTGCTAAGGTGCTGGAGAGGGAAAAGGATGCCACACTTCAGAAGCAGGTAGTGTTGGTTCTTATATCATCTCTCAAGTGAATTCTCCCTTTAATTGCAAGACAAACAGATAGGAATGTGAAGCAGTCTGTTTCTCTTCTGTTTGATCAGGAATTTTCTTACAGATTTCATTCTTCTATTACATTCTGTATGATAGCGGGACCCAGGGCTCACCTCTTCTTTCGTGGCCTTCTCCCTTTGCTCTTGGCTGTCCCTTCCTTCTCACCCCTTTGTTATATTCTTTGTGACCTTTCTCTTTTTTTTTTTTTGAGATAGAGTCTTGCTCTGATGCCCAGCCTGGAGTGCAGTGGCATGACCTCGGCTCACTGCAACCTCCACCTCCCAGGTTCAAACGATTCTCCTGCCTCAGCCTCCTGATGAGTAGCTGGGACTACAAGCATGCACCACCACACCCAGCTAATTGTTGTGTTTTTAGTAGAGATGGGGTTTTGCCATATTGGCCAGGCTGGTCTTGAACTCCCGACTTCAGGCAATCTGCCCACTTCAGCCTCCCAGAGTGCTAGGATTACAGGCATGAGCCACCGTACCTGGCCATGTGACCTTACTCTTGATCCAGCCCTCTCAGGACTCTCTAAAGCTGTCCCCATTGCCCTGCAGATGCCCAGCCATGGGCTAGTCTTAGGCATAAGAATGCCTCCCCTATCCTCAGAGTCTCAAGAGCCAAAGGATGCAGAAGTTGGAGCCAGGCTAATCGAGGAAGGAGAGGATGTGGTTGTTGGCTTTCACTCACCACACCAACTGTTTAAGCTTCTTACAACTGGGACGTGCCCAGAGCCACACTCTGACTATAAGATTCTATATACTCAGGTTGGTAAATACAGAAGAAGAGATTTTAATCTAGGCGTATCTGGTTGTAGGAGCTTCACTTTTTCCAAAACCACTGAAAATGTCTGAGTTTTAGAATAGCAAGCTAGTTCAACCTCTTGCATGTCTTAGAAGATATTTAGTAAAATACAGTTTATGCACAATATCTCAAAATGAGCTAATCTGGTACTCAGTCTGATTTAGGAATATTTTCCTAAGAGTACAATCACAGTAACATCATAATTTTGGAATGTTTAGCAGGAGAGGCACAGAGCTGGCTAGTGTATGTGAAAAGTTGCTGCACATTTAAGAATAAATATTAGGGCCGGGCGTGGTGGCTCACGCCTGTAATCCCAGCACTTTGGGAGGCCGAGGCGGGCGGATCACGAGGTCAGGAGATCGAGACCATCCTGGCTAACACAGTGAAACCCCGTCTCTACTAAAAATACAAAAAATTAGCCGGGCGTGGTGGTTGGCGCCTGTGGTCCCAGCTACTCGGGAGGCTGAGGCAGGAGAATGGCGTGAACCCGGGAGGCAGAGCTTGCAGTGAGCTGAGATTGTGCCACTGCACTCCAGCTTGAGGGGACAGTGTGAGTCTCTGGCTTTAAAAAAGTGGCCTGGTGCAGTGGCTCACACCTGTAAGCCCAACGCTTTGGGAGGCCAAGGCAGGAGGATTGCTTGAGGCCAGGAGTTTGAGATTAGCCTGGCCAACACAGTGAGACTCCCTTCTCTATTTCTATTAAAAAATAAATAAAATAAATAAATATCAGAGGGGAAAGTGCATGTTTCTAAGCAATATTTGAAACAATTTATCCCAAGTGAATTGAAAACTAAGCCTCCCCCTTACTAAGGAGACACACACTTTTTCCTTCATTTGCTAATTGACATGAAAACAAACACGTTACCAAAAAAATAGTGATATCCACCACGTCGTTGGAAGAGTGAACTGAAAAACAGTGAAGGGAGAAGGCCAGACATGTAGGGTGAAGGTTTTCTTCAGCTCATGATTCATCCAACTTCCTTCCCTCTTCCCTGACCCCAGGAGGACGTTGCTGTGGCCGCTGCAGTCTTGGAGTCCCTGCTCAAGCTGGCCCTGCTGGCTGGCCTGACCATCACTGTTTTTGGCTTTGCCTATTCTCAACTGGCTCTGGATATCTACGGAGGGGACATGCTTAGCTCAGGATCCGGTACGCACAAGAGTTTTTCTGGATTTTTTCTGATTTCCCAACAGAAATAGAAGGGTCACGAAATTCAAGAACTTGTGCACACACAGTTGATATCTGTGTCGGTGTAGGGAAAACTGTCTGGTGGCGGGGGCTGTGGGACTGTTCCCCTCATTCAACTCCAGACACACACTCAAGGTATAGGCAGGGGCTTTGGCACCAGGACGATCAGCTTCCCCAGCCTCACTTGAATAAGTTATTAGGACTTCTCCTTGCTGTTGGCTTTCCTCTCGGGCCTAGAATGTGTTTTACCAAGCGCTTCCCTGTGCTCCCTCTGGGGTGAGGGAGGAAGGCAGAGGGCAGGCGGTAATGAGTCCCCACTTGGTACTAAACACATCTGAAGATAGTAAATGCCACATAAATCTCCCAGCCTGATGCATAAAAGCCTCTGAAGGATAACCCAAAGCCATTTGCAGAGAATAAAATTGATCTCTGCAAATAAAAGGGTATATTTAATCCAGTGACTCTCAGTTTTTGAAGAAGAAAAGTATTGAATGTGTCTAATTTTGAAACACCAGACTGCTGAGGATCTCACAGCACTTCTTGGGCCTTGGGGACTTCACCAATTTCAAAATGTGCTGGGCTGTAAGCTGGCAGTCCATTTGCAGTGTTTCATCTTGGGTTCAGCAAAGATGTTTTTAATTTCTCAGGTCACTGGACAAGAACCCTGAGGACTTCTTTCTGCTGCCCCATCTCAATATAAAGGGCTTTGTCAAATGCCATTTTACAAGTTCACTAGCATGTTTTAGTCTCCACTACAACGGGGCCCAAACTTTCAGTGTTAGGGGAAGAAGGGCCAAGCTTCTATACCAGAGCAAAGGTCATTAAATTTGGAGAAACACCTGCTGTGAAACCAATGAAGTGGTTTGCAGCTCCCTGGGGCTTGTGCTGTGAGAAGTACATTTCCATCAGGCAGCTGCGGGAGGCCTCATTAGGAAGGCATTAGTAAGTTTATGGGCAGAGACTGGGAATTCAACTATTCTATAGAAGCTCTTCCCCTTTAGAAAGCAATCACCAAGGAGCAAACTTTAATGTCACACAATCACAGGGCATTGCCTCAAGGAGGGGGCTGTCCCATCATTATCATGACTCAGCCCATCATCTTAGTTTTGAAAGTGGAACTCGCAACACTACTGTCCTCAGTTGTGTACTTGTCTTTGCCTTCACCCTGGAAGTGGACTACTTACCTGTGAGCTGTACTGGCCATCTCCAGATGTGGGACTCGGACACGCACAGACAGGCTTTTGTGTAGGGGTGTGGCTTCTTTTCCATTGTTTGGGATTAGCACTGTATTTAATTAGGGGCTTTGTAAGTGTTCTGGAGGCTTTTCTTAGAAATCTTTCTCACACCTAGCTTTGCTTTGCTTTTTCTTTTCTTTTTTCTTGGTAACTCACAGAACACCTAGCTTTGCTATCCTTAAGCAAAATCCAAACATTCACAGAATTTCCCCAAGATTTCTCACATTTTTCTCTTAGGTGCTTCTCGCTTGCCCCTCTGCCTTTTACTTTTTCCTTCTCTATCCCCTTGTCTTAATAAACTAGGGCTGCCATGACAAAGTACCACAGACTGCGTGGCTTTAAACAACAGAACATATTGTCCATCAGTTCTGGAGGCCAGAAGTGCACAATGAAGCTACGGCCAGGACCATGTTATCTCTGAAGTCTCGAGGAGAGGCCCCTTCCTGCCTCTTCTAGTTTCTAGTGGTTGCTGGCATCCTGGTGTTCCTTGACTTGCAGCTGCAGCACTGCGGTCACACGCTGTGTTCTCTTTGTCTTCACATCGTCATCCCCCTGCGCTCTTCACGTCCTCATCCCCCTGCGCATGTCTGCCTCAGTGTGCAAGTTTCCCCCACTTTTTTTTTTTTTTAATGAGACGAAATCTCACTCTGTCACCCAGGGTGGAGTGCAGTGGTGCGATCTCGGCTCACTGCAACCTCCCAGGTTCAAGAGACTCCCGCCTTAGCCTCCCGTGTAGCTGAAATTACAGGCACACCCTACCATACCTGGCTAAGTTTGTGTATATTTAGTAGAGATGGGGTTTCGCCATGTTGGCCAGGCTGGTCTCAAACTCCTGACCTCAGGTAATCTGCCCCCCTTTGGCATCCCAAAGTGCTGGGATTATAAGCATGAGCCACTGCACCTGACCAAGTTTCCTCTTTTTATAAGGACACCTGTCATATTGGATCAGGGCCTGCCCTAATGACCTCATTTGAACTCAGTTTTCTTCATGAAGACCCTGTTTCCAAATAAGGTCAAATTCTGAGGTACCGCTGGTCAGGACATCAACATATCTATTTTAGGGGGACAGTTCAACCTAAAACACCTCTCAATTCAGTCTACAATCGAAGGTTGGTTCCGTTCTTGAATTCCCCAAATGGATGCAAAACCCTTTACGTGAGTCACTGCTTCGCGTCAGAGTTTGTGTTGCCCTCCATGGCTCACAACAGCCCACTGTTCACCTACTGATGGGCCCACCTGTGCCATTAGCGTTCGGTTGCCAGGTAAGGAGGCCTGCCACTCCTCTCTGCTTCTGCCAGGGAGAGGAGGATGGGGAGAAGCAGGAGGCACACTTGAGCATAGCCTTGAGTCTCCTGGGTGCAGAGCGTGGTCCCTGCCTCCCTTCCTGGAGTCACCATCAGCTGGGGTAGGGGCCAGGCTGCTTCCTGCAGCGGCTTGACAAGCAAAATGCAATGTGAGGTGATAAACATGGAATCTGAGACAGGGCCGTGGAAAATGGTTTTTTGTCGGGCATCAGGACTGCCCTGTTACTGCCATAAAACTGTTTAGGTTCCCACAGCATGGAGATCTTTTATATTAAACAGCTTTCATAAACCCTGAATGAGTTCCAGATTCTGAGACTCCGGAACTTCAGTCCCCCCTCCTTTTCTTTTAGTGGTTACTTTTTTTTTTTTTTCCTTTGTTGAGGTATAATTTACATAAAGTAAAATGCTGTTCTCTTAAGAGTACAGTTTGATAAGTTTTGACAAATATGTCCAAAAAGTCCCATGTAACTACCAAACAGATTCAGATATAGAATATCTCCATTTCCCTAGAAAGTTCTTTTGGGACCCTTTCTAGTCAACCACCCCACTCCACCTCAGATCATGGATCAGTATTTATTTTAAAAAGAATTTCATATCAATGAAATGCAGCATGCGTGCTCTTGCATTTGGCGTATTTCCTTCAATACAAAGTTTTTGAGATTCTTCCCCCCGTGGTTTCACATAGATCAGTGATTTTTATTATCTTTTCTTGCTAAGTATTCCTTTGTGTGGATGGCCCACGTTTTGTTTATTCTTTCTTCTGTTGATGGTCAGTTTTGGCTATTATGAATCAAACTACTACAGATGTTTTTGTGTAAGTGTTTTTGTGAATATGTGTGTTCATTTCTGTTGGATGTATACCTAGGGGTGCAATTGCTGGGTCATAGGTTAGGTGTATGTTTATTTTATTAGGTGCTTGATTATGGCCCTCTTAAAAGGGGGGAATCAATCCCATTTGTAAGCCTCCTGTTCTCTGGTTAGAAGATTTTTCAAAAGCTTGTTAGCTATAGAACTGCATTACTTTGTTTTAGAAGAAAATACCATTACGGGCACTAGTTCTCACTTTGGATTTGTGTAATTTTCTGCTGGTCCTGGGCCCTGGGCATTTGTTAAAGGTCTTTTGTTTAGGACCTGCTCAACTGAGATTCCCTTAACATACAGGGTCACTAGTGACTTTGAGTTCAAACCACCAGGCCTATTCATGCTGATGGAAAAAGTGAACAGACTTGTTTGCTAGCCAGATAAGCTTTTAGTTGTCTAGCAAGAGATCTGTACATTTATTCATAATTTTTTTTTTTTTTTTTTTTTTGAGATAGGGTCTTGTTCTGTCACCCAGGCTGAAGTGCAGTGGCACTATCATGGCTCACTGCAGCTCTGACCTCCCCAGACTCAAGTGATCCTCCCATCTCAACCTCCCGAGTAGCTGGGACTACAGGCATGCCCACCACACGCAGCTAACTTTTGTATTTTTGGTAGAGACGGGGTTTCATCATGTTGCCCAGGCTAGTCTCGAATCTCTGGGCTCTAGCAGTCTGCCAGCCTTGGCCTCCCAAAGTGCTAGGATTACAGGCATGAGCCACCGTGCCCAGCTTGTCCTTTTGTTTTTTGCGGATTATTTAGTCAATGCCGTAGAATGCTGGGAATCCTTCTAGATAATTAAGACCCTGCGCTCGAGCATGCAGTCTGTCCATTGCTGATACCAGCAGACCTCATAGTCTGGTTCTGGTTCTCCGGGTACTCAGCAGCACTGAGGTTACATGTGGGCCTTCTGATTGGGCTCTGGAGTCTCAGTGAGTTGTTTCCTTGTAGGTCCTGTTTTGCTGCGTTCTTACTGTTTCTATGTTCTCCTGCTTGCCATCAATGGAGTGACAGAATGTTTCACATTTGCTGCTATGAGCAAAGAGGAGGTCGACAGGTGGGTAACCTAGCAGGTACACCTTTAATCATGGCCTTCAGCCAAAATGAAGTAACTTGTCAAGCTTTTTGCTTTTCATTCCGAACATGCATTTACAGATGGTTGTTATAGAGGCAACACTTAGTCCACCAGTGTGGTGCTTCCCTGGGATCTCTGTGGCACCAGCATGGTTCAGCAAGTGGCCCCACCGTAGGGCTGGGAGACAGCAACTACTCTTTGCCTCCCCATTGTGGAGAGAGAAACATTGGCTCTGAAAGGTTACATTAGTCCAGGTTTGCAGAGTCAGGCACCAGACAAGCTAGATTCCCATTCCTCCACCTCGTTGCTCACCCCAGAAGAGTGGTCCTCCAGTAAGTTACTGAGGAGCTTCTTCAAGATGCACATTCCTACCCCTGAGAATCTGAATGGTGGGTCTTCGAGAATCTCAGGGATTCTGTGACGCTTCTGAGAAAAGCCCAAATACACACATACATCTTGCCATAATTTTTTCTCAACTGTTGACTCCAGATCAGGATTCCTGTCCTGGAATCCCTACCACGGTGTTGTTTTTACCGTGACAGCTGGTATGGGCCAGGAGTTTCCAAAGCCCTAGAATCTGTAACCTTGCCTCTGTAACCTTGAGTGCTGGTGAGGGCCCTCAGAGGCCTGGCCGTGAGGTGGGATGGGGAAGGAGTATCTCAAATGGGGACCCTTCCCCCTCCTCTGTGTGTGTCCTTTCCTGGGCTGGCTCATGTAAAAGCTTGGGGACTTTGTTTGCTACATAGTGACTGAGAACTAGAGTCCAGACCAGCAGGTCTCAGTCCAGATTGATGAGATTCTTCTAGGAATTTCTGGTCCACTCCCAGCCCAGCTGAATTAGAATCTTAGAAGGCTTGAGCCAGGGAATCTGTTTATTACACAGCTCTAGGCAATTCTGATTCTAGGGTTTTGGAAACTGCTGGCCCAGACCAACTGTCACGGTAAAAACAACACGGAGCAATGTGACCCAGGACGCACTTAGGTGTGTGTGACTGAGGCATGAGTTCACAAGGCAGGAAGTACCCCAGTTATGCACAGGACACACTGATGCTTTCTACTCTGTCTTCTATTTTGTTTTTCAAAAATGCCATGCCATTACCCTCTAAATTGATTTCCCAGCCTAGTAGTAGGTCACAACCCATAGTTTTAAAATAGTGGTCTAGATGTGGTTTTCACCTCAGATAGTTAAATTTATAGCTGTAGAGTAGAACTGCTTTGAGTCTATCCTCTTCTTTCCCCATGGATGAAAAAATCTATTTCAATTTAGCTTTGAAAATACAATGTTTTTATTTGAAAGCTGCTTCTAACATTGAATAACTTAAAACTATAATTGGAAACACGCGAAATGAGGCACTATTAGAGTGGAAAGAGCAGGACTAGGAGTGTATCTCCTTGAGGGGAATTTTGTTACGGTAACTTCAGTGTTAGTGTTGAAGGGGTGAATCAAAATCAAACCCATTTAAAATGTTTTTATAAATTGCAACCAAATTGTGAGGGAATATGGACAGTGGCTGGTTGCTTTCTTTTCTCTTATATTGTATTGAACCAAAGGAAACAAGTTTTTAAGTTAGTTGTAATGGAATTTCGATAGTATATAAACATCTGGAAAATTATTTTCATGGTATTAGTCAACATAGAGAAAAAACAGAGCCCAGAGCACCTTCTAGTGCAGTTCCCATGTGGGGTAACTGACCTCCCTAAGAGTAAAATGTGACATTAAGTGCAGTTTTGAGACACGTATAAAACACAATAGCTCCAGTTCTTTCTGGGCCCCTGGCTCCAGCACCTGGGCCTGGTCTGAGCACATGGAGCACCTGGGCTCATCACAGACGTCAGCATTTTTTTTTTTAATCCTTGTGAGTTTTAACAGACATAAAACTCTAGCAAGGATTTTTATAGTAGAATTGGATAGCTTAGTTAACTGTTACAATCAGTTACAAAGACTTTACATTGGACATTTCAGATTCTGAATGGAAAAAAAGCAGGCATTTTACTTAACCAACTTAAGGTTAACCAGTGTTTTTCTGAATAAAAATAGAGCATTTGGGCCAGGCACATTGGCTCACGCCTGTAATCCCAGCACTTTGGGAGGCTGGGGTGGGTGGATCACCTGAGATCAGGAGTTCGAGACCAGCCTGGCCAACATGGTGAAACCCCATCTCTACTAAAAATACAAAAATTAGCCGGGTGTAGTGGCGGACCCCGTGAGGTTCGACAAGATGAGTGGATGGCTCCACCGCCCATCTAAGTTCTCAACCGCCTCCAGCCACCGAAGAGCTTCTCGCTCCAACCAACAACTAAGCAGCACATCTGGTTGTCATACTGAATATTACCCAACACCTCCTCAAGAATTGCAGGACATTAAACTTAAATTCTTTTTTTTTTCTTTTTTGCAGCACCCGCGCTCTTGCGCCTGTGTCGCCCGGCTACTGTCGTAGTGGGTGATCTCCGGCTCCCCTATCACACACTCCCTTCGCCTCCCAGGTTCAGTGATTCTCTCGACCTCAGCTCTCCGAGTGACGCTGGATTGCAGTTGGCGCAACATGCCCCGCTATATTTTCTTTTCTGCGTTTTTAGTAAGAGACAGGTTTTCCCCATGTGGCCAGCCTGGTGCTCGAACTGAGCGCGTCGGAGTGATCTGCCTGTCTCGGCCCTCCCGCAAAGTGCTGGTTATAAGCGTGAGCCAACGTGCTGGCCTGGTGTTTTTTTTAAATAATCTTAATAATATATATAGAAATCTGACTAATGGATTTTTCATTATACCTTATAGAATGATTTTTGTTGTTTTGTTAAGGCTGTCTAATTTCCTTTCATTTAAGACAACAATGCCTCTCTACACAGGCATTGTTTTCAGCTCTAGGCTACAGCAATGAATAAGACAGATAGGATTTCTGCTCTCCTGGAGCTGATGTGGGGAGGCGATCAACCCAAACAAGTAAATTAATAAGAAATGTGACGTGGCGAGAATGAAAAAACGGGTATATAGCGAGTGGTCGGGCCTTTAGATCGCGTATGCCTGGGCAGGCCCGTATAGCACAGCAGCATTTAGGATGACCGAAGAAGGTGTCTTCAGATGGGGCAGAGCCTTCTAGGCAAAGAGAGATCGTTGTGTAAAGGCCAGATTGCAGCTCTTTTTTTTTTTTTTGAGACGGAGTCTGGCTCTGTCGCCCAGGCTGGAGTGCAGCTGGCCGATCTCACTCACTGGCAAGCTCCGCCTCCCAGGTTCACGCCATTCTCCTGCCCTCAGCCCTCCCGAGTAGCTGGGAATACAGGCCCCGCCACGATGGCAGACCACCCCGCCCGCCCCCTCACCT